AGCTTCTCCAACCTTCGTTCCTTCCTCTCTTGTCACGTAAGGTGTATGCTGCTGCAGCTGTCGCGCACCCCTCCTTCGGTGCTGCTGCAGCTGCAGCAGCTGCTGGGGGCCTGCAGGGCATCTGGGGAGCTGCGCTTCCTGCAGCAGCAGCAGCAGCAGCAGCAACAGCAGCAGCTGGAACTTAAGCAAGACGCAGCCATTCTCAGAGTCAAGCAGAAGCATTGGGAGCAGCAGCTGCTGCAGCTGCAACAGCAGAGCAGCAGTTCCTGCTGCATCTCTATCCCTCCAGCTGAATTTCTCCAGGCCCTTTCAGCAGCAGCAGCAGCAGCAGCACCAGCAGCAACACCATCTGCTGCAACAGCTGCTGCAGCGGCTGCTGCTACGGAGCTCGCACAGACGCAAATTCAACATGACGGAAATGGGAGTCTTAGCCCTGCTGATAAGCAACAGCAGCAGCAGCAGCAGCAGCAGCAGCAGCAGCAGCAGCAGCGGGCTGCAGCGGCAGGCGATTGCTCAGAACAGCAAAGAGCAGCCTGTTTGCTGCAGATGTTTCTCAAGTCCATCGAAGGGCAATTTCCTCTGTGCATGCATGGAGATCGGAGCGGCAGCAGAAAAAGCAGCAGCAGCAGCAGCAGCAGCAGCAGCAGCAACAGCAGCAGCAGCAGCAGGAAGTCGTGGCTTGCAGGCTGCGTAGTGCACGTAGTGGACCTCCGGGGGCCCGGCAGCACTTCTATTGCAGAGGAAGCAGCAATTTTGCTGCTGAAGCGGCTTGGCTGTTTGCTTCACAAGGGCTCCTTTCTTCCGCAGCAGCAGCAGCAGCAGCAGCAACAGCAGCAGCAGCAGCAGCAGCGGAAGCAGCTGCAGCCTGCAACACAAACAGCCCTGCTGAGAAGGCGAACCACCAAATACAGCCTTTCTGCCAGCAGCAGCAGCAGCACGCAAGCTCAGCAGCAGCAGCAACAACAGCAGCACCAGCAGCAGCAGCACCATGTAGAGGCAGCTGCTGCTGAGGGCTCCTTGCAAGGCACCCGCGCTGCTACCGGCAGCAGCAGCAGCAGCAGCAGCAGCAGCAGCGGCAGCAGCAGCAGCAGGACACAGCTGCAGCAGCAGCAGTCAGAGCCGCCTCAAGAAGACGACAGCTTTGCACAGTGAGGAAGCAGAATTAACAGCTGCTGCTAGTTTGCATGCATTAACTGCTTTTCAGCTGCTGCTGCTGCTGCTGCTGCTGCTGCTGCTGCTGCTGCTGCTGCAGGTTTTCAGTTGTCGTCCTGCTAGGCAAGGGAAGAGAAGGGCGGGAGCAGCAAAAAGCAGTCTTGCCGGAGGAGGAGATTTTCAAGTTGCTGCTGCAGCAAGGCGTTGCGGGTGGGTCTTGCTGCTGCTGCTGCTGCTGCTGCTGCGCATGTTTTGCTGCAGCTGCTGCTGCTGAGCTTGCCGCTGCTGCTGCAGCGACTGTCGCTGCCACCACAGCGTGTTTCTGCTGCCGATTTAGATGCTGCGGTGTTTTTGTTTGCTGCTCTTGCTGCTGCCTAAAATGCTGCTGCTGCAGCTGCTGCAGCTGCTGCTGCTGCTGCCTTCGCTGCGACGGATTGAAGCCTGTGGTCTTGCTGCTGCTGTCGTGTCATTGGCAGCAACAGCAAAAGGGTTAACAAAAAGTAGAGCATATGGTTGGACACGCACCCAGTTCGCTGCTGCTGCCGTTGCTGCTGCTGCTGCTGCTGCTGCTGCTGCTGCTGCTGCTGCTGCTGCTGCTGCAGGGTTGATGCTGCTGGAGGGAGGCGCCCCAGCACTTGCAGAAGCAGCAGCTCGAGCGCCTGCGCCGCAGCAAAGAAGACTCTCAGCTCCAACCGAAAGCAGCCAGCGCAGCAGCAGCAGCAGCAGCAGCAACAGCAGCAGCAGCAGCAGCAGCAGCATGAGGGCTCAGATTGGCAAGGCCCAAGTGGCTACCTCGCCCAGCTCTTCGAGTGGCGAGTTGGCAGCAGCAGCTGCATTGGCAGTGAGAGCAGCGACTGCGGCAACTTCGCCAGCAGCAGCAGCAACAGCAGCAGCAACAGCAGCAGCAACAGCAGCAGCAGCAGCACGGGGTGTTTCTCTTGGCGCTGAGGCCCTTACATCGTTTGCTTTGGGCCTTTTGAATTTAGCAGCAGATTCATTTGGCGAAGAGCTGCAGGCTGCAGGTCGCCCCAGCCTAGGCACCAACAAGCAGCAGCAGCAGCAGCAGCAGCAGCAGCAACAGCAACAACAGCAGCAGCAGCAGCAGCAGCAGGGAAGCCTGCTTCAGGCAAGCCGAAGTCCTCCAAAGCCAGCGCTGGTTCGGCATAAGCAAATGCAGTTGCCACACGAGCAGCGGCAGCAGCAGCAGCAGCAGCATCAGGAGCAGCAGCAGGAGCAAGAGCAGCAGCTGGAAGAACAGCAGCAGCAGAAACAGCAGCAGCAGCAGCAAAGTTCTAACGCAGCTGTGAAGTATGCTGTGAGCCTCAGACCAGCAGCAGCAGAAGCTCCCTGCGCTTCGAATCCTGCTGCTGCTCCTTTCCTCAGCGATTTGTCTCACAGCTTTTCTTCCCTCCGTTTGTTTGCTGCACAAATAACCGGAAGCAGCAGCAGCAGCAGCAGCAGCAGCAGCAGCAGCAGCAGCAGCGGCACAAACAATCAGCAGCAGCTAGCAGGGCCAGGCCAGCCTTTACGGGCATCTCTGCTGCTGCAGCGGCAGCCACTTTCTCAGGGCGCTTCGTATGCTTCTCCAGGTGCAGCAGCAGCAGCAGCAGCAGCAGCAAATGTACCTGCAACAGCAGCAGCAGCAGCAACTGGCGCAGGCTGGAAGGGCGCAGACCGGTCTCTTGTACGAGATACTGCTGCGCCTGGGGAGCAGCAAATGCTGCTGCTGCAGCAGTTTCTGCAGCGCGTCTATGCCACGGAACAAGCTTCGCAGCAGCAGCAGCAGCAGCAGCAGCAGCAGCAGCAGCAGCAGCAATTAATGCCAAGCTACAGAAGCACAATCCCTCTTCCTCCCCAAGCCGCCGCCAGTGGGTCTCTACTGGGGCCAGCGCAGCAAAGCTTGAGCAGCAGCAGCAGCAGCAGCAGCAGCAGCAGCAGCATCGGCGAACTGCAAAGTAAGTCTTTTGCTGCTGGCCACCTCAGGCCACGGCGACTGACGGTTTCTGCTGCTGCTGCTGAGCATGAGGCAGCAGCAGCAGCAGCAGCAGCAGCAGCAGCGGGCGGTGCCTTCCTAACGCACTCTGCTACCCTTAGACGATGCACTTCCAACAGCAACAGCAGCAGCAGCAGCAGCAGTTCGGCTGCAGCAGCAGCAGCAGCAGCTGGGGGAAGCAGCAGCAATTCTCAATTTGCTGATTTTCCGAAGTCAGAACGGCCACTTGACGCAGCAACAAGGCTGCTGCAACTCTCCGCAGCAGGGAGCCCAGTTGAACGGGACGCGCAGCAGCAGCAGCAGCAGCAGCAGCAGCAGCAGCAGCAGCAAAAGCAGCAGCACCCCAAGCTGTTTAAAAGAAGAGGTTTTTTGCCCTCATCCACAGCAGCAGCAGCGCTTAGGCGGGACACTTGAATGTGCCTTTTGGGGTGTACGTACACCTCAGCGAAGGCAGCCGCCGCCGCTGCTGCTGCTGCTGCTGTTTGCCGCAGCAGCAGCAAGCTGTTGCTGCTGCTCCGCAGCTGCAACAGCAGCACGCCCAGAGGCTGCTGCAGGCTGCTTCTTGCGGCAGCGTGCGCTCTAGCGCAGCAGCAGCAGTAGCATAAGCAGCAGCAGCAGCTGCTGCTGCAGCAGCTGCTGCTGCAGCAGCTGCAGCAGCTGCTGCTGGGGGCCCCGACTGTGCATCGGGCCCCCTTGTTTGCTGCTGAAGCATCTAGAGAAGCAAAAAGTCCTGTTTTGTTTGTTTTTATTTCAAGCATGCGAATTGAGTCTGTCGCTAGGCCGACTGAGAGGCGCTAGCTGCTGCTGCACCAGCAGCAGCAGCAGCAGCAGCAGCAGCAGCAGCAGCAGCAGCAGCAGGCTTGCAGGCGTGTCTGTGCACCCGCCAGTCAGCCTGCTGGCACTCCTTAGAACAATAAGCCTCACAGCGGCAGCGGCTGCACCTTTTGGTGGCCTGAGGTGTACATACACCCCACGCGCAAGTGCATGCAGCAGCAGCAGCGGGGTGTACATACACCGCAGCTCCCAGCGCCTCCCGCAGCAGCAGCCTCGCGCTGCCTGCTGCGGACTGGCTAGCTGCCAGCTAGCTAGCTGCGCGGCAGCTAGCTGGCTACCTCGCTAGCTAGCTAGCTAGCTGTGGCTAGCCGCGTGCAGCTGGTTGGTCCACTATTTAGCTAGCAGGCCCAGGACGCGCAGCAGCAGCAGCAGCAGCAGCAGAAGCAGCAGCAGCAGCAGCTTGGCCTCAACTAGTTACACAGCTCGCTGCAGTTCTCTGGCTAGCTAGTTGTTCCCGGCCCCAGCTAGCTAATTGAGGAGTAGCTAGCTACCTGCCCTGAGCTGCCCGTACTAGCCTAGCTAGCTAGCCAACCCACAGCTAGTTGGCTGACCCGCAGCTGGCTAGCTAGCTCACAGCTAGCTAGCTAGCTAATGGCTTTCTGGCTAGCTAGCGCAAGCTAGCTAGCTGTGGCCTAACTGGCCAGCCCACAGCCTTCTGGCGAGCTAGTAGCTAGCTGGCGAACAAATAGCTAGCTAGCCCCCTGGCTAGCTACCTCGCTAGCTACCTGGCCAGCTAGCTAGCTATCTAGCTATCCAGCTAGCCACTGAGCTAGCCAAAGCGCGATAGCTAGCTGGTGGCTGGCTGGCCAGCAGACAGCTAGCTAGCTAGCTGGCTATCCTGCCCTAAGGATAGCTAGCCAGCTAGCTGGCTAGCTATCTAGCTACATGGCTAGCTAGCTAGCTAGCTGGCCAGCTAGCTAGCTAGCTAGCTAGCTAGCTGGTGGCTAGCTGGCACTGACCTTGTGGCCGCAGCGCCTGCACTTGGCCACGATCATTTCCAGCTTTGCTGCCATCACTTCAG